TATAGATACATATCTATCTACATACATATATATATATTATATAATTGTGTGTGTGTGTGTGTGTGTGTGTGTGTGTGTGTGCCAGTCCTGGGGCTTGAACTTAGGGCCTAGATACTGTCCCTGAGCATTTTTGTTCAAGGCTGGAGCTCCACCACTTGAACCACAGCTCCACTTCCAGTTTTTGCTGGTTAATTGGGGATAAAGAGTCTTCTTGGGCTGTCTTCAAACCATGATCCTCAGATATCAGCCTCCTGAGTAGCTAGGATTACAGGAGTGAGCCATGACACTCAGCCACAAGGCCGTATTTGGGGTGGAACCCGGGCAGAGGCACTGCACAAGACCCCAGACACCTGGACCCCACCCCAGATCAGGGGTCGCTCAGCCTCACCAAGCAGAAAAGCATGCCCCCCCAGCAATGACTTACGGGTTATCTTAGCACTTCTTCCTTGGTTTTCCCTAAATAAGAGCATCTGGAAGAGATTTAACACCAACATCTGGGCTGATCATATGCAGCTCACATTTGCCTTCCCCTACCCCATCCCGTGCTGCCGAATGTGCTGCCTGGGATAAAACGTTCCCTTGAAAGTCTTACATGGCTCACTTGTTGGAGGACATTCTTGATGTCTTCCCATTCCCATGGACATCAGTGAAGGCTGGCCGGTGCACACTCAGCCCACAAGCTGAGCAGCACACCCTGCAGTGGCTCCTAACATCTTGCTTCTATGTATTTTGTGCCAGTGCTGGGGCTTGAACTCAGTACCTGGACACTGTCCTTTAGCTTTCCTGCTCATGACTGGCCCTCTACCCCTCCAGCCATAGTTCTACTTCTGGGTTGTTGGTTTGTTTGTTTTGCTGATTAAAGCGTCTGATGGACTTTCCGGCTCTGGTTGGCTTCCAACCATGACCCTCAGCTCTCAGCCTCCTGAGTAGCTAGAATTACAGGCGTGAGCCTCTGGTATTAGCTTTTAGACTGATCTTACAGGGTTATAAGGAAGCAACACATGTGGCCCTTTTCAGCGAAATAGCTCAAGGGAATACCCATGTGTGCAGCAACACCTGAGAAGCTGGTGTTCAGCCCCCTTCTCTGACATCCCCTTCCAGAAAGTTCTCTTCCTACCTGTAGTATACATCCTGGCTCCCTCTTCTGTACTGAGCCACATCCCGCCATTTAGACTACTGTCTTCAAAGCACTCCTCTAAATTCCATTGTTTCTGGCTGGCTTTTTGGGAAGAAATCACACGGACACTTTTACTCACACTGAATAGTATAATCTGATCAATGCTAAAATCAGCCTTTCAGAATTTTCTTTTATACCCTAGGAGACAGTGGGCAGAAAGCCTTATGCTAAAGATACAGTTCCAAAGGCAGGTTGCCAAGTCAATGGGACAAAAGAGTTTGATGGAAGAAGCCAGGGGTTCTCACAACTTTCCAAACTAGTGGAGGAAGCTGATTTAATTCTGCCTTTATTCCTCCCCTTTGCTGACTGGTTTTGTGTTAGGATGTGTCCTGTCAAGGAGAAATTATGTAGTGTCCACAGCCACCATTCTCCTTGTCTCTTTCTCATCAGTCTTTCTCTGATTGGTCAGCTTCCAGTGTATCTTCCACATGTGAGAAAGACAAACTACACTCATGCTTCACTGCAGGGGACAGAGGATCCAATTGAGGCACTTCTGGGTTTGTATTATTGTCAGTCTATGATGTGGTAAGAGGTGTCCTTCAAAAACTAAGCTTAGGGCTGAGATCTAAGGATCACAGTACAAAGACAGCCAGGGCAGAAAAAAGTCCGTCAGACTCTTATCTCCAATGAACCACCAGAAAACCAGAAATAGTGCCATGGCTCAAGTGCTTGCCTTGAGCTGAAGAGTTCGGGGACAGTGCCCCGGACCATAGTTCAAGCCCCACGACTGACCAAAAAATTAAAAAAACTTAGTTAAGTCTGTAGTTACTAGGCTAAGATCCATGGGACTAAGATTCAGGGATAACCCAGGCAGACAAATTCAAGAGATTTCCATCTCTAAAAAAACCATCAAGAAGCAGGGCTGGAGGCATGGCTCAAGTGGTAAAGCACCAGATGAGTAAGCAAGCCACAAAAGTGAGAGGCTCTGTGTTCAAACACCAGTACTACAAAAAGAAAAATTCTAGCTGAACTACTCTGGATGAGTAATTAATCATCTCTTCATTTTTTATCAGTTGTGGGGCTTGAACTCGGACCTGAGCAACCTCTGAAGGCTAATGTTCTACCACTTTGAACCAAAGCTCCACTTCCCATTTTCTGGTGGTTCCTTGGAGAGAAGAGTTTCATGGGCTTTTCCTTGCCTAGGCTGGCTTTGAACCTTGACCTTCAGATCTCAGCCTCCTGAGTAGCTAGGATTACAGATGTGAGTCACCAGTGCCTGGCTTCATCTCTTCATTTTTAATATCTTGCCTTTAGTTAGTGATAAAGTTGCCCGGATGCCAATTTTTAGCACTAATGGCATTTGAAGTGAGAACATTTTGGACTGGGAAGACTATGCTGTGCATTGTAGGACAATTAGAAGGATCCTTGTCCCCCACCCAGGTGATGACAACTAATCCAGCCCTCTGGAGACAGGCAGAATGCTCTCGCCTTAATGCCAGCCTGGGCTATAACCAAACTCTGTCTCAAAAACAAACTAGGGTCACAGAAATGAGAAGTCAATCCAGAGTTAAAAGGAAAAAGTTAATGGCTGCTTTTGCAAGGGTGGTAATATAGTATGCAATGCACATCATTCAAAATCACTCCCACTCACCTCCATATGGGTTTTTTTTGGGGGGTCCGGTTATGGGGCCTGAACTCTGGGTCTGGGCGCTGTCCCTCAGCTCTTCAGCTCAAGGCTACCGCTCTACCACTTGAGCCACAGCACCACTTCCGGCTTTTTTCTTTTTGCTTATATGGTGCTGAGGAATTGAACCCAGGGCCTCAGGCATGCAAGGCAAGCGCTCTACCACTGAGCCACCTTCCCAGCCCCTCCATATGGTTTTTGTTGTTGTTGTTTGTACACTCAGACTGCGGATTGAACTCAGGGCCTAGGTGTTGTCTCTTAGCTATTTTGCTCAAGGTTAGCACTCTACCACTTGAATCACAGCTCCACTTTGGCTTCTGGTGGTTAACTGGAGATGAGAATCTCAGGGACTTTCCTGCCCCCGCTGGCTTCTAACCATGATCCTGAGATCTCAGCCTTCTGAGTAGTTAGGATTACAAGCATGAGCTACCAACCAACTCTTGGTTCCATATAGTTTTATTATAAGACAAGTAGTTTTAAAAAAAAATCCTGCAACTAACAGGACATTAAAAAAAGAGTACTATGTAACGCTCCAAACATGAACTATTCAGGAAGATAATAATTCTGTTCTTTAGCCATAAAACATGCTTTTTAAGTAACCATTTGTGATACCAGAAAAGGATAAAACCTTTATGTAACTTGTCCTAATATGCTGAAGTAGCATAGCAGACAACTGCAGAGCTAACTCCAAAGCCAAAGTTTGTGAAATCTACTCATTGCCAGAATACAGAAATCATATTAACCCCGATATTTGGTTACAAAAATCTTTTCTATTTACCGATTGGTAATTTTTTAAATTATGGCAAGCCTGAAGAAAAATTAAGACCTGGCTCTTTTGCCGCTGACTAACTTGAAAGTAATAAAAATTAAGCTATAGTTTCAATAAGAGCAAGAAGTCCTAAGGAGTGACAGAGTTGGGATGACAGACAATGCACGGGGCTCAAAGAACTAGGAGAAAGGAATTTTGAAAGATTTTATCATGAAGGAGAAATAAGACATGTTCCAACTCATTTGAACACTACACACTTTATTATACATGCATGTATGGAACAATGTGCCCCCATTCAATGCCCAAATTTTATGTCTAAGTGAATCAGTTAAAAGCAAATTTAAAGGGGGCACCAGCAGCTCAAGCCTATAATCCTAGCTAAGTCAGGCGGCTGAGTAAAGAGTGAGGTTCCAGGGCCAGCCTCTTATGTTAAATTAACCATCAAATAGAAATGGAGCTGTGGCTCTAGCGGTAGAGCACCAGCCTTGAATGAACACACACACACACACACACACATATTAAGTTATGCATTTAAAAAAAACTAGACAAATATGAAAGGGCATTTCGCATTCCTAGCTGAAATCCTGTTTAGCTAGCAACTTTTCCTGCGCCCGGGGCTAGGCAGGCAGGCAGGCAGTTTACCTGCCTCGGATCTTTTTTAGACAAATACAGGCTGATTCCCCTTCTAGAACTCAAATAGGAAAGGCAGCGTGCAGAGCTTTTGATACAGCAGTTTTAACTCCTTGCAGCCTGCTCGCTGGCATGACCTCGCACCTAGCGTGCTAAAGGCGCACGCCTGGAGCGCGCCCCTCTCTTCTGCAGGCTCCAGGGGCGGACCCCAGCTCGGAAACGTGGTACCGATGCAAACCATCACCGCTCCCCACAAAACTACACACTGAGAAACTCCCGGGGAGGAGGGTTTTCAACAATCTGCATTGCAACGAACTCGGGGGAGGGGTGTGGAATGCCCCCCCAAAGTTAAGCACCACGGATTTAAGCCAAGGTTACTTCTATAACCACAGGTAGTGTTTCTGGGTTTTTTCCTTTCTTCTTTACAAAAAGTAAACCCTGAAGTTCTCATGTTATCGCCTAGCCTGCAGCCAGGTGGGTGTGACCCCCTCCTAAAGCCGGTGGCCTCCGGGGCCTGCGCGCTGCTCACGCGGGACCCGAGGTCTGTGTTTTATTCTCGAGGGCCGGGGGGAGTTGTCTAATTGTCCCCCTTTTGTTCGCGCTTCTTCTGGCTGTCAATTGAGCAGAAGATGGAAAATCAGGGAGCAGGGCTGGGGGGTGGGGCAGGGCTCAGCGCGCGCCTTTTCCCGGAAAGGCCGCAGCGCTCCCGAGCACCCTCCTCCTCCTCCCTCGGTGGGCGCGCCCAGGTGGTCCGCCGCCGGGGTGGGGGGACCCGAAGCCGTCCGGGCGCCCGGACTCACCGTGAGGGTCGCTCTTCTCCCGGACGCCGTCCACTCGGCCGTCGGGGTGGATGCGCAGGAAGAAGCCCCCGTTCTTGCAATACAGCTGCTTGGGGTCCGTGAAGTTCCCGGGCGGGAAGGCGTCGCCAGCGTCCCCCGCCAGCGCGGAGAGCGAGGTAACGGCCCCGGCCGCCATGGGTCCC